TTTTTTTTCTACTTTAGGAACTCCGCAAGTAAGCAACCGTGATCCCTTTTCTAGAACTAGTGTGCTCTCCGTCTAGATCTCCTCTTCTTTCACTTTATGTTCCCGATATAGTTGAACGAATTAACAAAACATTTCGTCAAAATCATTTATTCACAATCAGTTACGTCATCAACGAACTCATCGCAATCAATTTCATGATGTATAAGATCACTCTTGAAGTGTTCAATATTACAATAAACAAGATCAAATAATACTTTTGTTTCTCACAAAACGAACACAAAATCTATTGCAATAATTAGCAACAACGAAGAACAATAGCAACATCTATGCAAAAAAACCAAATGGATCAACTAATATTGTACAGTGATTGGGCACAAACAACAAATCTGAAAATTAATTCAGCGAAAATCATAACGAGATCAGTGATATAACTAACCGTGTGATGACTGCTTGAAAAAGAATATTATAATTAAGTAAATGAGAAACAAAAACAACCGAACAAGAACATGAAGAGATAAACTACATCACACTGATATTTACTCATACAACGAAGATATCAGTCAAAAGTTAGAGCAAGTTCATCAAATGTCTCAGATGTAGTAATAATAATACCATACGATTCGTAATAATATTGATATGAAAATGACCATTAGTAATAATAAGTCAAAAGCATATATGAAACCGTACAATAAAACGACTGTTTAAGAATCGGCCGTTAACATTCTGTTCGATAACAGTAATCGAATGTTTTGCTTGCGTGTAAGGAAATTATTTCTTAAAGCGTAGCTGCTGGAAGTCATGAGAACAGTAGGTATTGTGTTACAGATAAAACGACGACTTGCTACTACTGTCACCATCATTACCACTACTGTCATTACGGATACTATTACCTTCATAAATCATCTTCTGACTGTTACAACTACTGTTAACGTTATCATTGTCATTGGTAATATTGTTACAGGAGTTATTAGCAAGAAGATGGGTTTGATCAAGATGGGTAATAGTAATAGTACCAGCATGCTGTATCCATGCCTCGCCATCACACTGCATTGGAATGGCTGAATCGGAATCGAACAAACGTATCTTCAGTTCGCTTCCTTGTGCGAGTGGTACACATTTTGAGACACCCACTTGCATTTGTGCGATATGAAACGATGATCGCACACCGAACACTTCTAATTTTTCTAGAAAAAATGATACATATATTTCTATCAAAATCTATTTGATGTTTTAAAATCACATGAAATATTTCTATCATCCTCAATGAATTTTAAATGAATTTCGACAAAAACTTATGCAACAATTATTTCAAATATTCCTCTCAAAATAAACCATAGCTGCGAAAAGCCGTAAAGAGCCGATCAAAATATTGACTCAGCTCTTGCTTCAACTTACTATCAGAGATCGCCTGTGGCATATGTGGTAAATCTGGCCATGGTCTTACGCCAGCACCCCAATAAGGAATGTTCAAGATGGTAATTCCTTCGAGCGGTGGTAATTCTACCACTACTCCATCCACTGTCAATTCAACTTTCTGTTCCAAATCCGCGCAAGCATGCTCTAACACATCCTACAATTGAATGAATTTCAGATGTATTATTCACCTTTTGTTAAATACTTTCATTAAGAACCTCTTCGAAGATAAATTGCTAATTGTTGAATGAAGCAATTACACAGGATTTGTTAGCATGAGATTTGAAGTGCACAGTTATTGCATCTACATTTTTTCTTTAATTACGATGTGAATAGAAAGCGACACTTTGCATGGCGAACGAACAAATCAAAGCACAATCAATGCACTGCAAGATTAAACTATCGAAAACAAACTCTGACTTTTGTTCCATATGTGAAGAAGAGCAATTTATTAAGGAGACGAGATGAGAAGAGTCGCGGAATGCTGGAACGTGTAGATTGCATACCTGAATAAACATTATTATCATCAACATTCACAAAGAACAAAATTTTAAAAAATCTTAATATTTGAAATTGCAAAAGAATGATCCCATAGAGATGCATAAAACAATCATAATAACAATAATAGACGACCATATGTAACACAAGCGTCCACTCCAATTGATATATAATTGACCATACTCAAACGTTTATTTTTTGGCCGTACACCCAATCGTCTACGATGAATCACAGTAACTGACCATCGATCAAGTGCAGTCACACTTGAATTTCGCAACTCCGAACAAATCTGAAGTGACTGACGCATGACTGATAATATCTGTCAACGCAATCATTTTACTTCGGCTGTTCTTAACTCGGCACATATCAAATCAAAAAATCTGTCAATTGAAACCAATCGTACAGCAGCAATACTGCCACAGGATATCAGTTTCTTAACAGCTTATCAACAACAGAAAAAAAAATAAATCAAATGGTCAAATGAAGAGAAGAGGATCTCAAAGTGACATTCTTATCAAAATATGAATGAAGCTAAACCTAAAAATATACCTTTGAAAAATCAATTGAGCCAGAATGTGCTGAGCCCCATCCAAGAACTCGACTCAAATCATTCCCTGTACCAAGCGGTAAAATAGCAACCGGTGGTTTACGATGTAAATTACCAATAGCATCTAGAACCAATGAAACAGTGCCATCACCACCAGCAACAAGAACATAACAGTTGATTTTTGGATTCACTTCAATCCATCTGAATGCTGTATAAACGCTTACTGAATCCACATTTATTACCTGAAAGACAGTATTTGGTGAGTGAAGAAAAGTGATGCCTTCGACTGAATTTGACTCAATGAAAGATTCATGTTGAGAACGATTTAAATGAAAACAAACGAATGAATGAATATTGAACACAAAAATAAAAACAAACTTGAACAGGATGAAGATAACGTCGGAATGTTTGCAAAATGGCGAAACCCTCAGCGCCGCCACTCCTTGGATTAACCAAAACGAAGATTGGTCGCCAACTTGATGCGGTTGTAAAATTTGGTAGAGTTATTGATTCAATTACCAACTGAAAACGGATTCTCTACTTTTTTTAAAAATTTTTTTCGCTGTATTTAGATGCTCAATCAATGGAACAAATTTTCAAGTAACTAGGTTGCTGTCTTTGGGACGATTTTTTTGGTTGCTGTGAATAATTTGAATGAACGAATAAGTTAATGATGGGCAATCGTTTGATCTTAACACCACCTGCTTATAACGTCGATTTCCAGCTCTTCGAACGGTCACACAATTTGGTGGAATGATGAAATCACGATTAACGCCTAAATTACAACGTTCACCAACCGAATACTTACAATCTGCATGAACTGTCGCCTGAACAAATAATGATGCTTAACTTTGATTCATCATTCCGAACAATAGCAATAGCAGAACCTATAACGAAACTGGTCATCACAACAACAACAATGATATAAACCTGGCATAGCGCACAACGATAATCAATTAATCCAACACCATCACCACACATCTCTTCACAAGAAACACATATACTACATGAAGGAAGATTACCACGAACCTTAAATTTTACATGAAAGAAAATGATTTTGTAGAAATACTTTTCAAAACCAGAAATAATAACTGCAAAAATGGTATTATATTTCAAAAAAATGGTGCATCAAATGCACAAGTGTGCAATTCGATGAGTGGGTAATAACACGAAAAATATTAGTAAGAAATGGGCGATGAATGAGTAAACGATTGAATGATACCCAGTGGTGCATGATATCGTTATCAGTTGTTCGTGCAACCAACTTGCACGCAACGGTTGACGACAGTGAATGAAGGCACGTTTTTGTATCAACCATAACACCACAAAAATCGCATTGCATTCCAGACTGCATACCGTTCTCACATAAGCTACAGTAACGTCCATGGTCACTCTCCGATAAACTCACGAAATGATGTCCACCGAAAAGATCACGATAACGGAATCGAAGAAGACAAATCGATGAGAGAAAACGATGATAAAGTGATGGTGATGATGATAATGAAAACTTGATCTTTTGAATAACTCATTTGAAAAATAAAGAATCCACCTTATTAAAATGACACTTTCCTCAAAATCAATTTTACGAAGAGTTCGAAACATTCAAACGGTTTTCCGAGGACAGAATATCGTGGAGTTGAATTGGAAATATTAACAGTAGAATATCAATAAAGTGCTTTTATTGTTTTTAAATTAAATGCATTATTCAGTTTCAATTATTTATTCTTTTTCACTTATACTCAGCACTTTCTTTGAAGTATTGGAATACGGTTCGATGAAGACGAGTTGAATATAATGAAGACAAATTCTTCACGTGAAAAGAAACGAAACAGACAAGCAACTACTTGATGACACATCTGCATCAGTTGTGTCATATTCAATGACTCGTGGACGTAAGATTCTTCGTAAAAATTGTGTGCCAATAAAAAGTATTAATGAGATGATAATCAAAGGCCATATCATCGTCCCTTTTTTTGGATTCTTATAAGTTTCGCTTTGAAATACATTCACTCACGATCGTTAACATCACCTGAAATATAAACAACGATTCTTGAAGGAGATAATTCCTTTGACTCATACATTACTTAATGCTTTAGACGAGGTAATAAACTGTAACAACTTACACGGCCGGTCCAAAGCAATATAGCAATAGTGGTGTCACATCGACAGTCTCAATTGAATTCGGTCATTGATAGCAAAATCCGAACGAAACGAAACTGGTGAAGTTGAGAAGAGGAGACAGTTCCCCCATTACTTTTTCTTACTTAACCGTTGAAGTCACTGCAGATAACGATGAAATCAACTCTGAAAGCAGTGCATCATGCTTCAAATTTCATTCACAAAATTTCGTATACACTTTCGTAAACGAACTACCAAATATTTTCGACGCAAAACGTCGTAAAATTCCTGTTTATAGGCACTCATTCACAAACATTCGATGCAATTCATTCCGCTTTTCGACAATCACATTCCAGCAGTATGCTTAATTGGCAATTTGACACGCCCTGTGAGTGGCGACTATGCTTAGGTGCCGGATGCATTGATTTTGATTGCTCTCATGAATTTTTTTTTCGATATATACATTGTACACGCGGGGCGGGGTTCATTGCGGTGGAATTGATTTTCTTGTGTTTATCGGAAACCGTTTTAATAGACTTTAGTGGCGTTATTTTGCAATAAGCAAATTAAATTTTGTTATGAACACATTAAATTTTGCAGTATCTTTTTGTGGTTCAATGAGATAATTCGATCAGAGATTTCAGACCTTTATCACCTCGGCCTGGCCCGACCAGTAATCGTCAAGCCGGATCAGGACTTGCCAGGCTTAATGTTTCCATAGTGCTAATTCCTAATTTGACTCGGTAAATTTTGGTTTAGCCGGGCAAGTATTGGTCCAGCTTGGTGATTCGTAGCCAGACTCGACCCAAGAATTCTTGGTCCGGCCTGACAATTCTTACCCCGGCCCGACCCGGTAATTCCCCGCTCCTCTTTGTCGCTGAAGTCATGTAGAAGCGAAGTTATTCTTCAGTTGTTTTAGATCCACTACTCAGCAGGCGTAGCTAGAACAACCAGGAAATCACGTTAGGTTCTGATAAACTCGTAGTTCGACTGTCATGAATTCCGTTCAGTTTGAGATCACTATTCGTGTAAAATTTATTGTTTAAACCCGAAGACCAAGTTATATAGCAATCGTTCCTGTTTAAAAGCATGCTCGATATCTGTTAAAGAAAAATTGTTCGTTTGACAGGCGAAATGAATGGCGCTCATGTGAAAGATGTGGAAATGCGCATCGAAACATTTGGTGAGGATATTTCGTCGAAAGTGATAAGAGATAAGAAGTCAAGATCAAATTCGCCAATAAAACAAGTGAATAGTGATGAAACATCCGAACTGGAACGAAAAAAAGACTTCGAAAAAATGGAAACGGATGAAACTCAATTAGTTGTGAGTTTTATTGGGACGATAATCTTCTTTCAATCACTTCCATTTCTCAACATTACAAACGCACACCATCCACCTTTAAGGAGAGCAGATTTGAAAACCAAAACAACATCTTTCGAATTGTTGTTTTTGAAAAAAAAAGGAGAAAGGTTTGAAAATGTATCCGTCGTTGAGTCGGTAAGATAATTAGTTGATCATTGTTACAGCCAAGTGAAACTGAACAGGAGGATGGCGAAGTAAGCGATGATGGTTCGAACGTTGCGGTAAGTTTATGTGTAAATGATGAAATTTTGATAATTCCTGAATAGTTTTGAGTTAATTGTCAATACTTAAAACAATATTAACAGCAGTAACGTATGTTCACTGAATGCTTATTGTTGCACATCGCATAACTACGATCTGAGGATAACTGGTGAAAGAAGTACGGTGTTTCAGTACGGTGAAAAAAATAGAATTACTCCGAACATTTATGGCAATGGAGACGACAAAAGTAATGAAATGACTGCCATATTGAACGTTTAAGTGATGACGATAATGTTAATAAAAAATCCTCATGACAATAATGATAGCATAGCCTTTTACCGTTTTATTATTCGTTGTAATAGGTCATTCATTATTCATTTGTTTATCCGTTAATTGCAATTCGTTTACCGCAGTTAGACCTGAGAATAGTACAGTATTATTAGATTTGCGATAAATGAATAAATGAGGTGTATGTTACGTTTAAGGCTACCATCGTCACCACCACCACTACTACTACTACTGTTATTCCGGCTGCAACTGCAACTACTGCGACTGATGATGACGGTGAGATCGTGGACGATGACCAACAAAAGCAACCAGTAGCAGTTGAAAAGAATCGTCGTCGAAGTAGCACCAACCAAGCCACTCCGATTACCTCTGTACCGCTCAAGAAGGAGCCACCACCACCTGAAGAATCTTCTGAAGTCACGAAAAAATCCGCTCTGGAACGACTCAAAAACATTAAGTTCAGTTCACGATCAAAAGTTAGCGTTGGCAGGTGGGTTTTTCGTATTCTTTCTTTTTTTTCATCATCTTGAAATTCCTCTCTTTAACATTATTTCCGTCGTGATCAGGACAAAACAAATATTATCACATTTATTTCAGCCCCTCGCGAGAGCGTCGAGAACGTGAACGAAAAGAACGGCAGCAGCAGCAGCAGATGTAAGTGTGAAATTATTTTCCTTTCGTTCGTTTGCTTTTTTTGATTTCGATTTTTGAATTTCGGCTTGATTCGTATTTGTCTCGTTTATATGAAATAATATGAAGTTGAATTAAGTGTTCGTTCAACGCCATCACCAGCAGCTGCCGCAGCAACGCGACGAGGTGAAAATGAAAGAGTACGAAAGAGAAGATGGGAAGAGCATAGCACCGAAGAGGTGAATCTAACAGATACTCTCATTTAACATTTATTTGATACCAATATTTACTTCCAAATAGGATTGTTGTGACCGAAAATCCGAATTATCCATTGTGCGACTTTCACCCACTGAAACGTTTGCAAGATGAATCAGTAAATCGGTTAATTCTAATTTGTGTTCCATTCTTCTTGCATGAATCCATCGATGAGTCTTACTCAAACAACAGAGTTCATGGTCTATGTTCATTTTTTTAAAGGATCGTCCAGCTTTGGGATTAGCACAGCAACGAAACATTGCCACTGAAATGCAGCAGCGCAATGCGCGTTTTGTACGTGAGCGAGCCTCACCAGCAGCAGTAGCAATAGGACAAGGTAGTAATGCACCACCGTCAATGGGAATACCTACACGTGCTTCGTTGTCATCTTCGTGCGGTGGTACTGCTTCAATGCTGAAACAACAACAACAACCGCACCGTGATTATGCAATTTCTCATCAAGCATTTCACCACCACCATCAGCAACAACCCATTCAGCAGCAACAACCATCACCAATCCCATCACAACAACAGCAACAGTCACTTGGTCTTATCGAACGTCCAATCGTTGATCAGCCAAGCACTTTGCGGCAACGTATCGAGCGTATTATTGCACTTAATGAGGCTGAGGTTTCTTTCAATTTCCTTTTTATCATTGTTATTATTATTATTATTTTGGCTTTGGTTTAACTTTGTTCAGTTTTTCAAGTATGTTCATCTGCGTTCAGTTTATTTCACTGCGCGAAAAATTCTAAGGTATCGAACATGTGTGACACGGAACTGAAATCGTTGATAGTGAAGATGTTCGAAATCGATCGTGAACAACAACGCTTATATAAGGGTAGACGTGCACAGATCGAGTATGTCCTTTTCTTAACGATCATAACTTGTCGTATGTTTTTCAGCGATAGTGAAGAATGTTTTTAAGAGTTTAGATATGAAGCGATTGAAATGAAGTGTTGATTGGTAAATGAATAAGTTGTTAAATTGACTGATTGTTTGCGGATCGTTGTGAAGAAATGAATGAATGATTTGATATGAAATAAGAAGAGAAAAGGAAAATAATAAGAAGGAATGAATAGGTATCCATTATTGGCTCATGCTGTTACTGATGAGAAAATAAAGTGAAATATGAAAAAATTGTAGAACACTACAAGAGATGTTCACACAAGCGAAAAATGACGTGGAAAGATTGCTGAAGTGTTTACCGAATCATATGCGATCAGACATCCCACCGTTACCGACACAGCTGTCTCTTCTTCAAAGCGAATTGAATGCAACTGCATCCGCAGGTGGATTTGACTTTATGAAATAATCACGATGTTTTTGATGTTTCGATTCCTGAATTTAACTTCAATATCTATTATCAACAAATACTGTTATTTCCTTTTTTCTCATTATTCAACAATAATTATCATCTAGGTGCAGCAAATGCTACTCCAAACAACACCTCACAAGCACCGACCACTGCTGTTTCATCGTCAGCCAACTATAGCCAAATGAATGGCGGAGGATCATCATCAGTATCACAGTCAGTATCCAACGATTTCGCTGGTGCAGTATGTCCACTGACTGCTGGTCCAGGAGTTGGTGGCGGTGGTACTAGTGGTGTGCAACCTCCACCACAATCTTCATCATCATCATTCCCAATCGCGCCATCTTTACTAAACCGGTTCGTTGCTTGTTGTTGTGGTTTTAACCGAAATAAAACTCTTTCATCACAACGGTCTATTTTGGACGGTAAGCCGTTTTGTGTGCTAATCATATTTCAGTAATGTTACCGTTAATAAATGCAGATGCGCGTGAAATTCACAATTCAATTTTGGTGCCGACGAAAGAGAAATGAACCAATTCAATATGTTTGTTGTTAGTAGATACAAGCCAAATTATAGCTTAACTGAGGCTCGGTAACACCAGTGACATCAGTTCACCATTCGATTTCGAGCAGATAGCAAACCGTTTACCCACCGGTAATTAATACGTTTCTGTTCATGAGTGAACGTTATGCTCGGAACCGAGTGGTGTAGCAGTGTCATTTTGTTGTTATCATTATCGTTATTCAGACCACCGATGACCGGTGGAATAGCATCAGCAACTTCGGTTTCATCGTCGGCTAGCGCAGCACCTTTTATGAACATGGCAATGCCTCCCCCTCCTGCTCCTGGATCACAGACAACGAGCACCTTATCAACTGCCCAACAACAGTCACAACAAACTGGACCACCACTCGGTTATGGGCAGCCGCTGGCCATTAATAATCAGAATACATCGTCATCATCATCACCTTATCACCGCTTACCGCCACCACCACCATCAGCTGAAATTATCACTACAACTTCATCTTCGATGCCAAATCTTACGCAGCCACCCCCTTCATTGCTCAGTAATCATCCGTCAGCTACTTCTGCTGCAGCAACTAATATAGCAACAGCTGATTTTTCAATACCACCACCAACACGGACATCGTCACTGGATGCAACGCAAACGCCTCATTCATCAACAGCAAACACACCAATCAAACAACAACAACAGCAACAGCATCAGTCTACGGCTTCATCACCACTCGATCATCATTCCACCACTCCCACAAGTTCAACAACTGCAACGTCTTCGTCTGCACTAGTTGGTGTACCTAGTGGAGTATTGCAATCGAGTAGTACGGCTGCTATTGGCTGTGTCACCACTGCGGCGCATATCGATGCAGAAACGTTGACTTCATCATCTGCTGTCGTCAGTTTGCCTCATTCGGTGAATCTTTCGATGCCGCCACCCAACTTCCAGTTACCACCGCCATCAGTTGCGGCTGCTTCAGGTGGTACTGCTACTGCCACTTCTGCTTCCGGCTCACCCTATTCTGGACCACCGCCGCCGCCTTCTGCGCATATACCACCGAATACGTCTCTGCCGCCACCGAGTCGTGGCCCTCCGGCTGGGGGTGGTGTTGGTGCTCCACCAAATGTGATGGTTGGCCCAATGAGTGCGCCTCCTCCATCGTCATCATCAACAAGTATGAGTATGAATATGAATATGCCCGGAGCACCATTATCTTCATCTGCTGGGATGATGTCGAGTGGAAGTCATCAGCCGCCATCTCATCACCAACAGCATCCGTCTGTCTCGACACAACCACCACCCGCATCCGCAGCACTATCAGCATTGAACTGTCCACCACCCAATATGAATTGTCCCCCGCCAAACATTCCTCCTCCGCGCCCTGCTGGAGTGAGCTTGACCTCGGGTACTGGTGCAGGAACAACAGCTAGTGGTGGTGCAACAACACCTCAAGCTGCCGCAGTCGTCCATCAGATGATGTCTGCCATATGTAACCGTTCTGCAGCAAGCGGTCAAACACCCGTTGAAGTTGTCACTGAACTTATTGCGAGTGCCTATAATCGTGGCGGTCCCGGTCAAGCTGCAGCTTACGGTGCACCACCGCCACCAGGAGGTGGACCAGCACCACCCGGTTCGAGAATGGCATTGCCGCCACCCGGTTTGATGCAGTCCATGCAACAAGGACCGCCGCCATCGTCAATGCATCCCCATCCTCCTCCTCATCATCATCCAGCTCCAATGCCTCTAAATGCAATTGGCTCTGCTAAATTGCCAACCGTGAATTTGACTTCTGTTGTTGGTGGTGCTTCATCGCACTCGCATTCACTCTCAAGAGGGCCGTCCGGTGGTAATTATCGTGGTTATTTGGGTGGTGGTGGTGGTGGAGGTACGGGGAGTGCTCAAAGTGCTGGCAATGCCCATAATCGTTACGGCAAAGCTTCTGCTAATGCTGGTGGTGGCGCAGCTTCTCGTTCCACAGCACATCAACAACAACAGCAGCAGCAATCACAACGAAGACAAATCAGCGATATGGTTGCGATTATACCAGATGAACACGGTTCGTTAATGCAATCATTTCTTATGTTTTAATTATGCCGTCCTTTTGCCTCGATAATACATCAAAATTTGTTCATTCTATAAAAGATAAACAAAGCAAAAATTGAACCCACAAAATTGAAAAGTACTACTCCTGTACACGTTGGAATTGGTTGTTGTTTTTGTTTTGTTTTAAAAGAATCAATCTGAACTTTCAGTTCAAATCATGCATAGAAAAACATACTCGCCTGTACGCTTGTAAGTATATCTGGGTGTGTGGGCCGTCACAGTTTAATAAGTTCAATGTAATTTCTCGTTGATATGTGTGTGCATTGGAAATCGTTGGTAATTAGTTTGATAATAAGAATCAGGTTGGATTCATCGATATGTTCATCTGTATTTTCAGATACTTGTGATTCAGAAGAGCAACAAGATGACAGTAATATATTTCTGATAGTCTCAGACGAAGAAGAGGATAAATGAGCATTTGATGATTATGCACGCTCATTGTAAGTTGATATGAAATGAAATGAAATAGCAGGCTGCTTAGAAATTGCTGCTGCTATCGTTATCATTATCAATACTATTATTATTACCGTTATTATTATTCTTACTGCTATATTATGATTAGTATCACCGTTATTACTACTACTACTATTACTAGTACTGCTGCGAATACTACCACACTAAATGTCGTTCCAAGTATTATTACATTTGTCATAGTCACGTGCATCATCTAGATTAATAATATTTTAATTCAGTATTCCAATTCGAGATTAGCGTTAGGTGACTAGTTCATCATAATTTTTTTGAATTCGTTTTCGTTTATGATCGTCGCTATTTCACGGATCGTTTCTGTTTTGCTGATTGTTATTGTTATTATTATTTAGTGTATTGATCACGGAAACGTTTATATTATCGTTATTACTGTCATATTTGACGATGTTCTTCACGTTCATATCGATCCAAATTAGGAATTTTGAAAATTTTGGTAGGTTAGGGTGATTTTCAGTGCTTTTTTTTTGCATTCAGCAGTGGTCAACTTCCTATATTTGTTTTATTCTTCTGTTGATAATTCATGACATTTTCAAATTCGTCAACGTTCAACGCTATTCATAATGACGACTATTCAATTCGTTCGATTTTATTGCTAAATTATTATTCGGTTCAAGCTAAAATTTTGTTGTAATATTCGTCCAACTCGACTGAAGTTGATTAGTTTACTCCTTACAGATTTTATTTGAACATCTGAATGCTGTGTGTAAATAAGTTTGTTTAAGAATTTCCCCTGTGACTTAATATTGCTGCTAAACTATATAAGCGTATACGATATCAGTCATATTTGTTACAGTTTTGCGGTTTTCATTAATAGCACCATTGGTAATTCTAAGATTCCTCCGTTCCTCGTTTCCACCCCCTGTTGGCTATATACGCGTAATTGTACTCCATATTGATTATGACGTGTCAAAAGACGCGTTACGGTTTGTTTTCTTCTGCAGTTAGTGAACTGATGTTGATTTCCGTTTTAAAGAGAATGCAGAATGGGATGTTGAAACGGAATGCGAAGCACCGAATGATTTCTTTATACAAATGACTATATTTTATATACGAAATTTTTCAGTAGTTTTTTGAAATTGATTCATATTTCCATTCATATTATTTTCGTTTTTTTAATTTTAAAATTGAAATCTTTGCATTCTTATATTGCTCTTTCTATCGTATTATTTTTATTTCAGTTTATAATGTATACGTGTATGTGTTTGTGTGTGTGTGTTAGTTATTCTGTGTAATCGATGAAAATTAATTCATTTCGAAGAGATTTTCATTTTGAAATGTTATAAATTCTAATGGTTTTGAACAACTATCACGTTAATCAGCCATGTTGATATGTAATATTCGTTTTTTTGTTCTATCTCAACAATTTTCCATGATAATCTTTCGACGATGACGATATTCGTTGCGTGAAAAACGTTTGTTTGCTTCATATTGGAATTTCTTTTGTACTTTTTAAAATGCTTTTTTTATTTTGTTACTACAAAACAAATTAATACTATATTAATTTGATTGGTATCAGTTAAATTTTTGATAAATTTTATTCTATCAAATATGTTCTTCGACGAGAATTAATAAGTTGATTATTATTGCTGGTTTATTCCGCAAAATGGTAACTTCCTATCGTACCTAACAACATTGCATCTAATTGTAAATGAATACAGCCAGTGGTTCGATGATGTGAAAATAATTCTTGCTTGTTTGTTTATATCGAATAGAGTTCAGATTCTTTACGTACAATGCACATTATTTTGCATTCATTTGTTCACTCTTTCTTTCGTTTTATTCAGTTGACAAATTCGTTTGCAGATATACGACGATCTATGTACTTACTTAGCTGTACACTTGAAGCAAAGTTTTTGTTGATTCAACAATTACAGTGACGAAGTTAACTGGCGTGTCTTCCTTTGACGGCTTTCAGCCTGTGCATAGTTTCTGTTTTACTGTTTTTTAACTTGACGAATTGTTGTGGTCATCGTGAATGGATTAAATTGAGAATTACCATTATTCTCTGATCACAAGCTAGACACGCTGCAACTGTGGGATATTTTTTAAAATTTATTTCAGAGTTGTCGACGAAAAAGCTTTGGTCATCAGTGACAGTCAGCTTATTGTTAATAATTGGTAAGGATTTTGTATCGCAAACATTTGCAAAAACTAGTGATGTTTCATGTTTCACTTATAAAGCAAGTATTGGTTGTGAAAGCGATAACGCAGATCCATAAGCAGCGATAACATTTTGTTGGCAATATTAGGAAGGGAGAACGGGAGAGAAGGAGATGGCTGATAGATCCTCTGTACTTCTTCGTAGGTAGGAAAGAGTGAGTAAGACTTGTAGCGCTCAGTGAAAAGGTGAATCGATAGTTAAGTTCGGTGGTTGTGTTGAAATGATTTATCAAATAATGATTTCATAGTTATTGTCTCTAACGTATAGGATTAATTTGCATGATAGATTGTATATCGTAGCTACGTGTTTAGTTCAGTATTACTCTGCTTACGTTCCGCTGTCTTTGTGTACTTTCAGTCCCAATATGAAGTTATTATTTTTTTATGTGACAATTTGAAGTTATCATTGAAATGTAAATGTTTAGGTAGTTAGGTAGAATTCGTGAATATGTGTATTTGTATACCAAGTTAGCTAGGTAGGTAGGTATGCTTTTGTGATATTCATCGTTGATGCTTTTCATGTATTTATGTATTTGATCAGTAAGCAACTCATGATGAGATTATTTTAAATCATGAGTCAACTTGTAATCTTATCCCGACTCGTTTTCGTCTATGATGAGTTTAGATGAATCACCAGTAACGATATCAATATACGTATTCTTTATTGCGTGGCATCCTTTTTCTCTCGTACAGTTGGTAAGCAATATTAGTGCGGTAATGAATCGTCTTCATGGATTTTATCTTAAGCAGTGGTGTGATATCACAAAGATGTGAGATGCAATGAATTCGTAGGAGAAAGTCTTTGAATAAGCACGGAATGGTGGTATATCGACACTTTTTGGTGACGATAAATATATGCATGAATTAGTTTGGCATTGGAGTGAGTGTATGGGTAAATTTAGATATTCTCTGAACGACAAATAATGTGCGCGGCATATCAGTTTAGAAATGAAGTTTAAGAGTTAAGTGCAGTATCAGCCTAAATGATAAGAAAATAACTAGTCATATTGAAAATTGAAGAAGAAGGAGAAGAAAGTTATGTTTAAAGAAAAACTGATGTCGTTAAGTACTTCTTAAGAAGGAAGAAAAATTGTTTGTTAGTTCAATAGTAACTTTAAATTTTGGTCTTGGTGTATGTGGTTAAAGCGATATTTTGTATGTAATTCATTCGAAAGTTGTACGAATTCTCGTTCATCTAATTCATCAAAAACAACAGATACATATTTGTGGCTATTAATTTATCCATCTTATTCACATACATTTGTAAGCATCATCTCAAAAAAAAAGAAAAAAAGATTGCTTTCCTCTATATTTTCTTCATCTGCTTTACAGCATTTCTTCATTCGTTCGTTCTATCTTTCGTAAACAAATCTTTCGTCATTCTACGATTTCTTAAACATGTAGCCACCGCGTTCATTTCTTCACCTCTCTATTTCATATGTCTTTGCTTTCCGATTTTATGACCTGAGAACCTTTAAAGAATGAAT